AAGTTTCTTGATAGAGGTTGTAGCTAATAAACATTGCTGGACTGAATTTACATGGTCTCTTGGAGTTCCTTGGACTAGGCCTGACACTATGGTACCCTGTCTGGATTATAACTCTATCCCTTACTGAGTGTGAGGTAACATATCAAACAGCATTGACAGCTGTGTTGGCACTAGTTGATGCATCCCTGTTCTTCTTTCTTTTCAGGAATTGCCATCTGTTTTTCACTCACTACTACTATCCTCCTCCTTCTCCTCCTCCTCCTCCTCCTCCTCCTCCTTCTCCTTCTCCTCCTTCTTCTCCTGTATAATTTTATTTAAAAATTTTTTTAAAAGAAGATAAAAACTAATCTAAACCAATACAACGTGAGAAAAAGAAAACAAGAAAGAAATCAAAGAGAAAGCTAAAAGTGCAAAAAGGAAAAGAAAAGAAAAATAGAAAAGAAGAAAAAGATACAAGAAAGTAGCTTCTGTTCCTCTTCACAACAGTTATAAATACAATTATAAATTGACCTCTTATTCCAGGTTACAAAATGACTCTCTTCTTTTTATAAGCATCGAAACCATAAATCATAAGTTCGTTTTTTTTCTGTTTCACGCAAAAAGTCTATACAGGATTTCCAGTTTTTCACTCACTTCTCTGAAGTGTCAAAAAGAAGTTTTTGAATCACTGCCTTCCAGCTTTTGCTGCCTACCTTTCCCTCTGTGTGTGTGTGTGTGTGTGTTAGGACTAACACATATTTAACATGAAACTTCAGTTCTGCTGTGAGTACACAGAGCACTATAAAGGTTTTTCAGGACTCTTTTTCTTGAAGTTCTGTACATTAAACATATTCCTTCCTTTTAACTGCTGGCTGTTACTGGTTGGTTAGTCACGAAGGCAAAGGAATTATGGTAGGCTAGCCATGAAGATAAAATGTTTTCTCAGGTAGGCCTGAAATCATAACAGTGGCATTTAATTATCTTTCTAGCTTCTGAGTTTTTTTTTTTCTTCTTAGCTTAGCCAGCAGGCTTTCCTCACTACATTTGTAAGGATTTTTTTTTTAAATATTCTTTTTACTGTGGAAGCTGTGACTGCAGACCATGTTAAGTTCTGGTTTTGTGCTTAATGAGAATTACATGCAGCTTCATTAGTGCCTAGATTTTGGTCCAGAAATTGAGCCATATGTTGTCATTGAAGCACTTCCTTGAATCATTCGAGCTCCTGAGAGGACTTCTTTAACAAATGGCAGAAGCAAAATGTTTATTTATGTCTGACCAGTGTCCTTGCAATGTTTTGAGACTGTGGGCTACTTGTTGCTTAATATTTCCTGCTTTTCTTTCATAGGATCATTATGAAGGGGTGCCCATGGACATGGGGGGGGGGAGGCAAGGAGGGTGAATGATGACCCATGCATTAGGGCATTATCATGCAAAGGACACAACTTGTGTCAGACTTCATGACATATCCTCATAATTCTGTCATTGGCACAATGACACCAGGGCTCACACATTGCCATTTTCATACCTTTGTGGCTTGCGATGGATATCTATAGGACGCTTAAAGTTAAGAAATCAGGAAGCAGCACTGCTGCCATTGGAATTCAGGACCAGAATAAAACAGAATCATACAGAGGTTCAAAAGCTTGCTGGAACTGCTGATATTTTCACTTTTTTGTTGAGTTCTCAATTTGTGGAACTAAGCTGTCTTTCACAAGCCCTTGATCTTAACTTTCCTGGCATTCTAGCATCTGCCTCCTTTCTCTCCTAAGCTGAGGGATCCTGAAGAGTGGCTGTCCTGATTTTGATCTTTTCCCTTCCCTACAGGAAGCAGAAAATACTTTGCGTCTGATGCAGAATAAGCTGAAGGAGGAAGAGAAACGTTTGCTGAAGAGTGGAAGTAAGTTACCTTTTCATGCACTGGGATAGTCCTGTGGACTTTTTCCATGTCCAGTTTACTGTAGCCATTTTGGATGATGCCATAGCTTAATGCCAGCTGCCCAAAGTTTGCTGGAGTGGGCAGCCATGACAATTTTAAATAAATAAATAAAGCCGAAACAGCCCAATTGGGTTGACCTTTGAGGTATATTGAGAGCAGATCTCTCAGTCTGTATCTTCATCCTTGTCTCAAGGAGGAAGGCAATTAAATTAACTAAACACATGCAATCTAATTTTTCTTGCCTTCTGTCATATTAAGCATGACAACTCAATGTTGACTTTTGAAGTAGCTCTTGGGGTTTCCCTCAAGGCTTTTGAGGGCCACAGGAGGCCCTGGGATCTCTGATGGTGCATTTGAGTTTTAACTTAATCAGAGACTTAGCTTGAAAAGTTCTGCCTGCAGAAGATATGTCTCGGCAGGGAAATAGTCAGCCTTTGCTAGTTGAACAGAAAGGTATATCTCACATTCTAGATCTCAGTCAGGATTGAGACTAACCTTTTAGTAATATTGTTTCAGCTAAGTGCAGTGAATTAACCATTTAATTAATCAGTGTTCGCAAATGAGTCCACAAAAGTTGCTATTTGCAGAAAGTTTTTCTTGTCCTGTTCATGCATGCCTGAACGTTAGCCATTCATGGTCTAAAAGACCACTGTGAAAAGCAGTATTTGTTCATTCTCATTCATTCATTCATTCGTTTGTTCATTTGATTTATGTGCTGCAAGGGACAGGTTACAATCTGGAATGAAAAATGAATAATCTTTCTTTCTTGCACGTCTTGATCAAATGTCTCTGTTAGAAAATATCCCTTCTAGTAGGATATAATTAAGCCAGACGTTGAAATATATAGCAGTATAAATTATTAACATAATAACGTTTGACTGGAAAAATTAGTAATAGCTTGGAATAATTTATTTGGGAGCTTCTGCCAACAGTTTTGACTCATCTTAAATAAGATGTCAGCAAGGGCCCTTTGCATGAATCACTCGGGCAATTTTAATATTGCCACACTTAGTTAACTTGCACTGAAAAGAAGATGAAGGTGGTCTCTGGTGGGTCAATTAAGGAAATTAAGCCTTATTTTATCATGCTAGCTGGTTTTCCATTGGCTTGTGGCTTTCCTCTTTTCCACTCCTTTCTTCTGTGGTGTAGAAACCAACATTACAGAACAAATTACTGACTACAGACTGGTTTGTTGGACCAAAGTGGATCAACTGCAACTGCCCTGTACAAGAATGCCCAAAAGGGTCTTCCCTCTTTGGAACTTGATTTTAAATGGCAAAGTTCTGGAAGTGTTGCCTAGGAAACAAGATTGCAACTCGACGTGCACTGAGGGGCAGCAGATCTGGGGGAGTTTGATATAGATGAAATATTCCTTTTTCAAGTTTCAACCTGTTGCACAATGGGGTGTGTGTGTGTGTGTATGTCGATCCAAATTTGGAGGGTAAGGGTACAGATTGTTTTGTTGAGTGGGGCTGTAGTCCCTGCTGATAGTTTCTTCCGAGCACTCACAGCCCCTCTTCTCAACCATTCTACCATTTATAGCAAAGAAATGGAGATAGGTACAATTTACTTTCCACGTATTTATTTTGGGTGCATTCAATAAGCAACCTGGACAACATATAATAAAAAGTTATATGTGCTTTATGCAATGCTCCTTGTCGTTATCAGTGTTTGGGAGGTGTGAATGGAAAGTGTTCCCTTCGACAAGGGAGTGGAACCGTGTTCCTTCCCCATCATCAGTATCTCAGTTTGAATAGCACAATCTTCTGCACTGTGTATGGCCATTCTGGGTAGGGATTCTGGGAGCTAATATCTAAGGCAGAGGCTGGTATAGTGCACTGCTAGGGTTTCACCATATATAATATCAACTGGTATCCAGATTTGATGTTGCAGTCATGCTTAGCATTGAGAAGAAAGTCTTCAGGCAGTCTGAGCAATTTGGGGGGAGCTGGGAGTGTCATATCAGTGCTTTTGGTGGGGTAGTGAAATGACATCATGGGAATGCATGGAGGAGGCTAGAGTTCGTTGTGGCCAAACCTGACTCACCTAAAGCAACCAAATCTCTTTGAAGATACAACATAATTTTATTAGCATGCAAACCATAAAATAGTGTACACTGGGCTCCCAGCTTGTCAGGCAGCCCTGATCAAAAGCAGAACCAGAGCTTATATATAGTATCTTTGGTCTACTACAGTGTTTCTCAACCTCAGCAACCTTCAGATGAGTGGACTTCAACTCCCAGAATTCCCCAGCCAGCATGCTACTTTTATACAAAAATATGCAAATATCTACTAAATGAAGTTTATTTGGATATCTTAACTAAAGGTTTTAGGAAATACCCTTGAATTTGCAGGTGAATTAATAGTTTCCTTTTTTGTAGCTGAACATTTCCCACTTTTCCACTTGTTAACCTTCTTTTCTTTAATGTTTCTTTCACGGTAGCCACTTGGGTAGGCGAAGAGACTGTCTGTTTGCTTTACTTACTTTGATGCTGAAAATGTGTACTTCTGTGGAATCCTAACAGGAGAATACCAGAAGGCCTAGGCAACAAGAGGCAAACAGAGGACATGTTCAGAGTTCTTGCATTTTAAAGAGTGTTTGGAGCATTTCACCTCCACAATCTTAGACCTACACTCATGAATGAGAATGTGCCTAGGGCCACGAAATGAGTTTCTCAGAGAAGTGAAAGTGAACTAGGGACATCAAGTGCTGGATATGGATTTTTCCCCTGGAGCAATAATTATCTCAGCCACCCAGCTTCTTCTTATCATAGACCTTCAGTCTGGGTTATTTGTCAGCAAAATGCCATATGGGTTGGGGGGGGTCTGGGCTCCAGAGCTGAGGCCATTCAAAGGAGTGTCCCATGGCTTTTGCTTTGGTAAAGAAATATGTGAAGCCCCAGGAAAGAACAAGAGCAGCATTTGATTAGCAGGGCCCCATAATCCAAGGAAACGCGCAGGTTCCCTGGGTGAATGCAAAGCACATTTTGTTCTTTGCCGGAACAGAAGCTTTATCGAGAAAGTGACACATCTCTCCATAGGTTCTGCCTGTTGCTAAAGTGGAACCAGAGTTTGATCAGGGAGGGGTTTATTTTGCACACTGGGGATTAAGTGCTTTCTTTCCTCCTAAACGGTTGCTTTACTCTTTGCTCTTGCTTATTCTCTCACCGAGACCTGCACATACATTAAGATGTTCACAGAAGCTGTTGTGCATTTGTGGTAGCACAAATAGATAGCCGCCTTCTGGAGTCTCTCGATCGGTTTTTCTGCATAGAGCCATTCAGAGAAAACAGGCAACATGTCTAAGTTAGATTGCTCTGAGGAATTTACTGTCCTACAGAAGGTCTTCTACAACTCTTAGCTCATGATCATTGGCCATGTTGGGAACTGGACAGGAGCTGGAGCGCAAAGGATCCCTGCCCGAGATTTTCTCCAGGACCTTAACATTTAAAATCCTGTCAAGGGGAAATGCCAAGGATGGAACCCAGACCCCTCTCAGCATAAAGAGTATGTTATAAAACTGTGTGATGGACTTTCCCATTCTATTCTTGAAGAGTATTTTGCCACGTATCAAAAATGGTCAGGTTAAATCAAGACACTCTACCCTTGTTGTGGTCATAATATTTTTAAAAACATTTTGAGCTTGAACAATGAGGCCAGTTATTTATTTCGCTATCATGAGAGGACTGACATTCTCAGACCTTTAAAAAATGTGAGAGATTTAAGGAACAAACTGGCTGTACTAAACCTCATAAGGTTAATGTTGTTTAATGCCCCTATTTGCCCCTTCTGCTTGAAAAAAAGGGTTGGTTAAAATCAGTAGCTTAGTTTTGGCTCTGGGAGCTTAAAAATGGGACTAGGGGTGCAGATTGACCACTTCTGGGATGCATATTAAAACTGATATTATTTGGCAGGAGTTCACAGAGCTTAGGTCTTACTGGCAAAGTTCTATACAAAACTCAGAAGGAAAACATAGCATTACTTTAATCACTGTCAGCAACTATGGGCTATCATAGTTTTGTTTTAATAAGCTGAGGTATGAATGAACCTTTTGTTTGCCGTTCCTTTTGGGGCTGGAACAATCAACCAAAACAGCAAGATGAAATTTAGTAGAAATGAGATGATATTTAGATAGGAAGGACCTAGCTTGAAGGCCAACACAAATGAAGGAATTAAGCCTACACCAGCAGGGCAAGGTTCCTGCTAAAAAAGCCGAGAGGTGAAGGAAGCATATCACCCTGTGATAGTTCCCGAGCCGGAGCGCTGGATCCAGTTTTGGGTCCTGCTGTTTAAGAAGGGCATTGTCCAGAGAAGAAAGCCAAAATGGTGAGGCAATAGGTACCCAAGTCATATGAGAAATTGCTGAAGAAAACTGAGTTGGTAAAGGATGCTAAGGGGGCCATTTTGGTGTAGTGGTGGAGGCACCAGGCTAAGAACGGGAGACCCTGAGTTCTAGTCCCGCCTTAGAAAAAGCCAATTGGATGACTTTGAGCCAGCCACTTTCTCTCAGCCCTAGGAAGGAGGCAATGGCAAACCCTTTCCGAAAAACCTTAGGTACAAAGCCAGTGGGTGACCTTGGGCCAGTCACCCTCTCTCAGTTCTAGGAAGCATGCAATGGCAAACCCCTTCTGGAAAACCTTGCCAGGAAAACTGCAGGGACTAGTCTAGGCAGACACCAAGATCAAGATCTGACTAGAAGGCACCCCCCGCCAAAAAAAGGATGCTAACATAAATACTTGACATGTAAATGATGGAGCACAAATTTTCCTTTTTTTTTCCCCTCAAGAGGATAAGACTAGAACCAGTAGATGAGAACCACAGGGAAATGATCTCAGTAGAAGGCATGCACTTCCTAGCAATAGAAGTTGTTCAGCAATGGGGAAAAAATGCTGTTTGGTGGGTGGGGTGGAGACTCCCTCATTGGAAATACTTGAATGGGAACTGGGCAGCCATCAGTCAGGGATACGTATCATCATAGAAAAACTTGCATTGATCAGGGAGGTGTACTGGTTGGTCTCCAAATCTGCTAGTTTCAGTTGGTTTCTTTTCCCTGCCTGTAAGTTGAATTTTCTTTTTAAAATGCTGATGTGCAAACTTAGTTAACATAGCCATTTACTTCATAAGGTCTAAAACTGCAGTTCTTTTCTTCTCGCTATCTATGTGCATTGTCCTTTCTGTGTCTCTGGAATGGACTTTTCTCCCTGACCAGAATAAATGCTTTGTTATTTTTATTTTAACATGGGTTGGGTGCCATTGTAATGTCTTTCATGGCTGTAGAGAAACAAACGCTCCCCTGTGCTCTTCCTGTATCTCAAATAAGGCTTGGCCAGGTGTTGTCAAATATCAATGATTGCAAAATGCATAAAACATCAATAAATGAGAACAGTAGGGATAATTTTTAAAAGTTACTGATTAGAAGTTCAATATATCTAAAGGCATTGGGATTGCAGAAGGCCAGAGAGAGGCAGAGTTGCTTTTTTTTAAAAAAAAGAAAGCCCAAATAAAAGAGAGAAAAACTTCCAAGATCTTGTAAACAAGCAGATCTACTATAAACAGGATAGGCATCCTTCTGAAATCAAATGTTTTGGCTTCTATAATTGACAGTTGTAAAACCTGGTGATGAATACATCTCCTGCAGATGTAATGTGGGGGTGGCCAGTGGTTCATCAGATCCCCTAACAATGCTTTGAGAAGGGCAAGAAGATCGATAGCGTCACTTACCTGCAAGGGATGAAGGCCGAGCCCCAAATGCCAGTGCTGGGAACTATGTAAATGGGAGTCTGTGAGTGGGACTACATAGGTCAGCTTGACAGCAAATGCATCTGGGGCTTATCAGCCCCAACCTTCTATTTTCATGATGAATAACCAGCTGGCATGTGAGTGAAGCGCCTTCTGGATTTTGTAAACACAATCAATGCAGATAGCACATGAAAAACGCATGGCGTGATGTCACTCAACCCGATACAGAAAGAACAGTTGATCGGACGGGTTGGCCATGTGAAAAACCTCAAAAGTACTGAAAAGGAATACCCAGCATTATTCCAAAAAAAATTTTTAAGGGAAAGTTTGAATTGAAACCTCAGTTTTTTCCTACTAGGAATTGTTCCAGAACAATTGAATTAAAAATATCACAATTTAAGAAGAAATATGCCAATGACCGTGAGGACAAATTTGGCTCAATGTTGGAAAAGAGACAGTTTTCCAACAATATCAGACTGGGAAACCAGTCTTGGGGAATATGCAAGGAATGACAAAATTAACAGCATACATTCAGAACAGAAGTTTAACTAAATTTAAGCAAGAATGGCTCCCCTATAATACATCACACAAGATGAATTCAGGCACTAGAGTTCTGTTTTTAAGGGAAAAATAATTGTCGTAAAGATGATAATTAACCATTTCAATGTTTATAAATACATTATGCAATTATCAGTCGGGTACAATGTAGCTTCTCAATATTTTTACTGTATTTTTTTCTTTTTAGTTTTTTAATTCTTTTCCCCCTGTGCTTTTATCCTTAGAATAATGACAAATAGTGATGATATCAATATTAATATCACGTTCAGAGTTTTCTGGAGACTTCTAGCTATTTCTTAAGATGACATAATGAACTTAGTTCTATACATTTAACTATGGAATAATGGATTTTAAATTTTATGATAATTGTAAACTCCCTGTATATTCACTGATTTCATTCCTTATCCACTGTGTTTCTTTCTATCTTCTTTTTTTTAATGTGGCTGTTTATTCTGTTTCTTTAAATGTTTGAATAAATGAAATATAATAACAACAACAGAAAAAGATACTGCTCAGCCTGGTTTGACCAGACGACTAACACCCATGAGATTTACACATCCCTGTTGCATGTGAGAAATTGCAGTTTGGAGCTTCGAAAGAGAAGCCTTCTCAGGCATCCACTACCTTCTTTTTGGAGAGTAAGCAGAGGAGTGTGGCAGTGAGAGCTGACTTGATTGACCTAGCAGAGGAAGATATTTTAACCCTCTCAGGCTCTGTAGTTCTGCTTGACGAAGTTAAGGAATGCCAGAATATCCAGACCATAAAGCCACCGTAGAATCAATCAGTCCATTGATGCCCCTGGGGTGGGTATTCTGAGCCTCTTGTATTGTAAGCCACCTTCCAGTCCCCTTTTTTGCAATCTGGGAAGGTCACCTGAGTCATAACTGCCCAAAAGCCGCGGCTCTCTTTTCCTGCAATTTTTGAGGTGGAAAGTCCACAAAAACTAGTGTAAGCTCTGAAATGCCTCCCAATCCTTGCCCAGCTTTTCTAGCTGAGGTCTTTTCATCTGAAAGCCTCCGGCTCCTTTGCACGTGCTCCGTGTTCTCTACCACCGTGCAGTGGCCTCTTAGTGGCCTGAACAGCCCCTTTTGTTCTTTCAAAGGGTACGAAGAAGCTCGAGAAACAAGATGACATCCTCAGCCTGTCTTTCGGGCAGTTAATAACTTGAAGGGCTCTCGTTTTTTATTTAGGTCATGATGACTCAGACATTGAGATCCACGAGGACGATGGATCGGACAGCGAAATGGAAGACCGGCAGCTGATCAAGCAACACACGGCCATGGAAATGCTCATGCAAGGTGAGTCGATCTGCCCCCCCCTTTCTTCTTCCCTAACTGCTTTCAAGATACAGCTCATTTTCAAACTGTTCAGCCTGTTCGCGTGACCACGCAAATTAGAAAACCAGTTTTAAACACATGTAAGCACAAGGAAAGTTCGTATTCTTCAAGTTCTAAAGATTCCCTTATTCCTGAGCTGAATGTGGACTGCTGCCTTTCTCCAGAGTTCAGATGAAACTGAGGCGCGTAGGAACGAGGGCTACAGGAATTAGAAACGTGTGCTTGGCTGTCAGACAGCCCTTTGAGGTAGGCCAGGTCAGGAAACAAACTGCACGAGAAATACTAGAATTCTTTATTTATTATGATAGGCTATAATAACAGAATTTTGAAAGCTGGACAGAGTTTCTTTTTCCCCTCCTCTTAAACCAAGAGAGTCAAGCCGAGGCAGCCTTGAGCTTCTTTCTCAGCCCGGCCTGCCTTTTCAGGCTAAGCTGATGTTTTTGTAATGGCTGCGGCATATTTTCTTGCAATCTCTCTCCGTACTCCTTGGCATTCGCTCATCTGCCTGGTCCTTAAGCTTTTAACATAAAACCCTCCAACCTGGCCCTTCTTATGCAGATGCTTCCTTAAACCCACCCAAGAAGGCCCAAGAAAAAAGACTCCTTAACACTGCTGTTTTTAATGCTTACAAGCCCTAGGCCGAGCCTTGGGCTCGGTGCGCCACGTCCTGTTGCAGAAGAACGAAAAAGGAAGAAAAGACAAAGGTCTCCTTTGTCTTCCAGCCCAGCTCTGCACTCATCCTGCCAGCTGCCCTGTGATGCTGTTCTGCCCAGGGGAATCCAGCTTGGCCACAACGCCACGGCAGAGACGTGGCACCTCTGCTCTTCCTTTTCTTTCGGAGAACAACCGAGTTGTCCCTAAAGGAGAGGACATCTTGTCTTCAGTCGGGCTGATTGAACGTATCACTTCTACATCGTCGTGTTTCCCGAGCAGCAGGATTGACAAGCTCTCGGGAGCCCTGGTGGGATCAGCGAAGTCTAGGCTGGCTCTGTGCTGTTTTCATTGGCTGCCCCCCTTCTTCATGTTTTGCACATCTGCAGTTTTGTCACACAACTCAGCAGGGGACAGGAAGCCCGCTAAACCTCCTGGATTGGAGCCCTGCCTTTCGATACAAGGCCAAGTCTCTATGGCCGGGTTTCTCAAACCCTGCTCTGTGGAATCAGCCTGCAGAGTACGACTTTCTTAGCCTTGTTGCTCATGGCAAAAAAACACAGCACACTTTCTTTGTCCGAGGGGGATCAGGGCTAGAGGCTAGGTTGAAGGCGTGAAATGAGAACCGATCTTTGCAGACGGCAGGGCTCTTCCTTCCCGGGAGCCAGCGCAGGGTTCGTTCACCCAGGGTGAAGCTTCAGTGCCAAGTTGGCTCTGCTTTCCCAACCAGCCTCAACTTGCTGCTGTTGTTTGTACGAGTGTTTCCATCCCTTTATGCCTACCCCTACCCTTTATGCTAAAACACCCCCATCTTTCTGTTTTCATAGCTTCATCATCTGTAGATTTTTTAAAAAAAAAGATTGCGCAAAAAAAACCCCCAGTTCTGCTTGCCCAACCTACCATTTTTTTCCACTCTTACATCTCTTTCCCCCCCTTCTCTGCCAAAGTGTGCCCCCCACCATGCTCACCCTCCTAGCCTTCAACAGCTGTTGGGAGAGCAAGTGCAATTTTAATTGTATGTTAATTGATATTTATTCTTGTTTTACTGTCAACCGCCCAGAGTCGCTCTTGAGTGAGATGGGCAGTGACTAAATTTGAAATACAAATAAATAAAGTGCAGGGATAAGTGAGTTAAAATGCTCAAGTAACCCAGTTACTTTTCTCTTTGGAAATAATTGGTAACAGGTCCCTTGAAGGGTCATGAGACAGTACCCTGGAGGTGAAATATATATATTTTTTTCAGTTCTATGAAGCCTGATGTATAAAGTTATTAATTAAAAATAGAGTGTAGCTGTTTTTTTCCAGGCTGTTTGGCACAAAAGATGCAGGTCAACCTGATTGACCTTGCAAGACCTGTTCAGTTGTAGAGATACTTAAAGACAGAACGGATCCATTCATGTATAATAATAAGCGAACGGATGAGGATCACTGCATCCTCCATCCACATCTGGCCTTCTTCCTCCCTGCTGTCCCTGTTCTCAGGAGCTTTCATCACAGCTCACATCTGGAGAATCTTACAATGTGAGGAAATGAGCATTGAGGACTTCTTACTGTTCATTCTTTTTCTTTTAAAATCAACTCCTACCCCACCCCCCATGTGGAGGGCAGGTTGGCATTATGTGCATGGAACTGTCCCTCGCTTCTCATTTTGCCTTTATAGTGGGGGCGGGGTGCAACCTGTGGCCCCTCAAGTGACCCCCCCCCAGCGCTGCTCAGGTGGAGTGCGAAACATTTTGAATTCAAACCAGTTTAAGCACAAAGCAACTGTTTGGGGAGAGAAACAGGTTGTTTCCATCCTTTTGGAACTGTGTTGAGCGTATTCTGAAATGGCCAAAGTTACTGTTTTGCACTTGAAGCATTTAAAATTTTGAAGCAGTTTGAATTCAAAACGTTTTGCATCATCCTTTGGCTCAGTTGTCTTTGCTAATGCCAGAAAGGGCAAAATTATTAACTTCAGTGCAATTAATCGTACAGAGTTATTTAACTTGTTTAACGTTCACTATATTTAAATTGAGTCAGTTCACATTTAGTGCTAATTGGGACCTGGTATGCTTTCTGGCATGTCATCCAAAGGCCAAGGGTGACCCTTTGCCTGAAAAGGGTCAGCCGCCCTTGCCTTAAAATCAGACAGCCGGGCTCTTTAAAACTGACCTCTATTGACCTAAAAGCTACAGCAGTCATGAAGACTTCCGCTTGGTCCAGAGCAAAAGATACAGATGTTCTCCTAAGCACCTTGTCTTAACAGAAAAATGTCTTTCCAACTCTAAAAAGTATGTTGAAAAGAACATGTTCAACCAGTTCCCAAAGCCCTCTATGCATTATTTCACATGCTTCCCCCACCGAGTGCTCTCCAGGAGTAAAACACTCACTCACTGTCCCTTACGGAAGGAACCACAGCTTCAGACTGTAACAGTGAAAGCTTTTCTAAGTAGATGGCTGACAGACTGTCCAAGTCAGTTTCCTCTGGTTTAAGCCCATCATACCTAATTCAACCTGGGCTAAAGGAAAAGAGCCTCCTTGGAAGGGTGGAATCACACCAAGAAGGTGCCCATTCAAACAGGCGTGGACATTAGTATCTTTCATAGCTCTAATGACTATGGAAACATCTCTGGGCTTTGAGGTCTCAGAGTTTATTTATTTATTTAGGGTTCTGCCAGAGGTTTGCTTGCATTTTTCACGACATTTTCTGATGAATTCTGTATGTTCTAGGGCGGCCAAGCAAGCGGATTGTTGGAACCATGCAAGGGGGAGACACGGAGGATGATGTAAGTGGCTATGGCTGGTGTCCCGTGATATGTTTAAACATGAGTTCATGTGCCCTTTTTGCAAAATAGAAGAAAAGGTTATTTTAAAAAAGGTTTTTCTCTTGGAAAGCATGAAGATTTAACTCATTTCATGCCGGTGCATTTTTGCATTTATTTATGATTAAGGCAAAGACCATTTCCTGTGTGTAAAGTTACACCAGGTTTTAAATAACAGTTAAATTATGCAGGGTTGAACCAGAAGACAAAGGGATAAGTTAGGATTGTGAATCATTCATAAAGGTAGGATGATCAACTATAACCTTATGACCTCTATAGGTTATGCTTCTCTTTGAATGATTTATTCGTATGTATATTCAAATACACATGTGCTCTGCATACTAAAAACATCTGGGTTTGTGAATAAGCTTTGGGTGATTTATAGAATTCACTTTGATTAAAAGTGGTCATGAACACTGACAACAAAATGTTTTGCAGGATAATATCTTAAGTGGCCATAACTACATGTTTCTCAGAACTGAGAGTTTGGGCCTGCATCTTATTTCAGTACTTAATTTTGTAATTTCCTTCTTAGTCCCATGGCTTTCAATGGGATTTAGGCACTCTTAAGTATTTTGCTCTGAGTATTCAGGATCCTGCTGGAATTTTTCTACTGTCTTTGTATAAGATACTCTATTGATTCTGATGTGAATAGAAGTAGAGGAGAAACATGACACTTATAATTTGCTTCTCTACTATGCATATGGTATCTGTATTGCCAACCAGCTAACAGGAACCCCTTCTTTCTCTTCACACAATACGTTGTCAAAGATTCATGATTCTTAGTTATAGAAGTGAGCTCTTCCCCACAGAACCAGCTTCTCTCCGTTGTCCTGATACTTCAAGCACACATCTAGCAGGTCACTCTCCATGTCTTTGCAGGGATGAAGGAAATATGAACCCCAGTTTCCGTGCAGTAGTTGTGATGGATAGTTTCCCTTTTTGAATGGCTGAGCAAAAAGATCAGGCTGGGTTTGTTTCAGCATCTATTTATGCTACCTATAATAGTAACTCTAGTTTGAAAGCATTCTTCTCCGATTTGTTTTGCTGGGCCCACTCTGGAGATTTATAGAATCGTCCAAAATAGATCTACGCCCAAAATAGATCCATTCACCCTGGGCCAGATTTGGGGGGCAACTTAGGTATCAGGTCTGAAAATGCGTTGCTGGGCTGGGTTGTAACATCAGCAGCTGCCCACAGATAGCAGGCTACACAAGAGCCCCATGGAGATAACATGGCCTTTAAAGTGTAAACTAACCCTAAAGTGTCTGCCTTGATTATATTTCTTCAAGCAGGTAGTTCCCCTCTTAGCTTGGTCCATGTGCTTGACCCAGTCATGTCGCTAAGCTGTTTTCTCCAGCCTTGTTTGGATTTGAATTCTCTTTCTATTTGCCTTTTGCACTCATTCTTTTATAACCTTCTCTGCTGTCATTCCTCTAATTTCTTTCTACCCCCATCTTGCGTCGCCTCGCATGCCGCTGCTCCCTCTGCCAAAGATCGGGGCAGCCCAAGCCCGAACCAAAAAGCGCAAGGCTTCTCGAGCCAAGGCAAAGGTGCGTGCCTCTCCTGTCTGCCAACCTTGCTCCTCATTCCATACCCACATGTCACTTGCCTCCCTACTCTGGCCTTGGGTCCTGCTCACCATCAGAAGCCATTGGCAGTGGGAGGAAAGGAATGAAGGTAAGAAGCAAGAGCTGGCACGCCATCTGCCAGGGATGGAGACAACCCGTGAGAGCTTCCCCCCAACGTCAGATTGTGTTTGTAGACTACCATCAAGGGAGGTGGGGCTGGATCTAATGGATGGAAGTCACCCCAGAACTAAGAAGCAGAGATTTCTCAGGATTAGTTTGCCAAACTGTGTTTAGCCACGATTTTCTGGGTCGTCACAACATATTGAGCTTTAAATTGTGTTTTAGTAAACCCACTAGGGTTAGCCATAAAGCAGGTTATGGGAACCAGGATATTTGTATTTATGTTTTAAAGAAAATGGAAAGGCAAGTTCTTGCACCATCCTGATTTTTTCCCTCAAAATTCCCCCTTTTCATTGTGTTTCCCTGTGGAACTTTATCTTCAAACAAAACTTTTCAGTAGGACAGGAGGTTACTATAGGGGAGGGAGAGGAACCTCCAGGCCCCACTCATCTCTTTCTCTCTCACACACATACACAAAGTGCTTTGTCCTTTGGAATTACAGCTTTTATTCACAATAAACTAAAGATGGACTAAATAGATGATAGATGATTTAACTGGATAGCAACTGTATTCATTCAATGTTTTGTATAAATATTATCTATATTAATTCTTCAAGACCAGGCATATTTTTTAAAAAAAATCAGATAACCAATGCATATATTTTCTTACAGGAGGACTCAGAGGACAGTGAAATTGATCTGGATGATGACGACGATGACGATGATGATGATTTGGAAGATGACAGCATGGACATCTCCCCCACCAAGGCCAATCGGAGAGTCAGGAAGCCTGAGCCTCTGGAGGAGAGCGATAATGATTTCTGAGGAACCCCAACAGGGATGTCAGATGACAGCTTGCCCATGACTCTTGCTACACATACTACAAGGCCATATTAAGGCAGTGTAAGCAGTCCTAGAATGGTGATATATTTTAGGCCTCAAAGCTGTTATCGCTTCATGAATTTTAAAGGCCTCAAAAAGGAGTCATAATTGAGGAAACAAAATGATAACGCTGGAAGCCATGGAAGTTCTACCATGCTGAAGGTCAAAGAACCCCCAACCCCACACCTCCAAGTTTACAATCTAGTAACAAAATCTTGGCCGGTACTTGGATGTGGGTCCCAATTATTTCAAAGAGCAATTTAGGATGAATTAACAGCCTGGCCTTGGGTCTACTTTACAGACTGTGGTTGAGCCTTGAACAAACCCACTTTTTGTTTTTTGAATTGTTTTTTGTCATAGATCAAGGCAAAATTGTCAGTTGAACAAAAGTGGGGGGAAATCCCACAAGGGGAGGTTGATTGGTTTGGAGCTTTTTCAGTTCATTTGTCCTTGACCCTATCATCCAGCGCGAGTTGGTCCATTTGGGGGGAAACTCGCATCTGGGGAAAAAAATTCTAGGAAAAATAGAGCTTATTTTAACTTAATTAAGTACATAGAGACTTCTGTCCACAAATCCATGCTGGCGTAAAGCATATTTTATCAATGTGATTCTCCTAACCAAGTTTTCATTATTTAGAGGACAAGCATTGTGGTTTTGGCATGGCCACCTTCCTCTCACTACAAATCTAATACAATTCCTGGGACTTCTGTAGAAGCAGCTCTTTTCAGATTCATGGAAGTATTTGATAGACTGTTTTGCTCAAGCCAACAAGTATTCTGTTGACCTTGTTCTGTACTGAAGGTTCCTTGGTTCACCATTGTAGGCCAATGACTCTTTTATTACCTTCTGAATTTCTTTGACTGTAACATTCCTGCATTTTGCAAATAAATGCCCTTCTCCCTTATGTTTGCTCTTGTACCTTTCTCCCCAATTATAGAAATACAAGAGTGATTATTCCAGAATCAATATACTGGCCTCTTTCAAATCAGCTTTGGTAATGCTGCTTCATCCAAGCACCCTTCTTGCAGGAGCAAAAATCAGGAATGCTCATGATTGGTGGTG